GCCCCCACCCCTACCCCACCCAACACACACTCCTGCTGCTTATTTCACTTTATTTTTCTTCATAGTACTTAGGAAACATGTATATAGGACCACTAGCATCCTATAGATGGATATTTGTTTGTGAATTATTGCCTTGTTTTCAGCCATTAGGGAGTATGTTCTCTGAGGATGAGGACTTAATGCTGTATCCTCAGGACCCAGGACCAGTGCCTGGCAAATAACTTATACTCAATATTTATCAGACAAAAAAGTAAAAAACAAGGAAAGAGAGTGCAAGGGAGGGAAGGAATTAGATATGGATCCTGTAGGCTTTTGCATTCCAGGCAGGGGAATAAAAATTTAATTCATTAGTCAGCAGGTAGCCAGTGAAGAGTTTGAACTGGGGAATGAGAGCAAAAACATTTAGTTTAGGAGGTAGCTTGGTGATGATGTGTAGGATGGATTTTTTTTAAAAATTCACATCGACGTCCCCTTCCCTTCCCTAAGCCAGTACAATGTAATATAGCTGTATGTATAGCTGTATGTAAAAAAAAGAAAAACAAAACAACAACAAAACTTTTAATTTTGAAATAGTTTGATGCCGAAGAAACTGCTAAATTGCTACAATTGCTCAAAGTGAATTCCTTTCCTGTACTTTTCTCCCAGTTCACCCCAATGATAGTATCTTATAATACTGCAGTACATTGTCAAATCCAGGAAAATGACCTTAGTATAATACTGTTAACTCAGGTACAGGCCTTAGTTGGATTTTATCAGATTTTACATGTACTTTTGTGTGTGTGGGTGTTGATAGCTCTATGAAATTTTATCATATGTGTAGAAGTGTGCTTTTTAATGTTTCTGCATCTGATTTTGAAGATTTTGACAAAGTGTTAGAAAATATTTAATACCAATATAATTCCACTCTCCAAGTTCTTGGTCTCTCACATTTACAAATGAATAAATTGAATGGCCTGTTTTTTATTTACTTTTTAAAATAATTTTTTATTTTTTAATTACAGTTTCAGGTGTACAACATAGTGATTAGACATTTATATACCTTAAGAAGTGATCACCCCAGTAAGTCTAGTACCCATTTGATACCATTACAATATTATCGATTATATTCCCCTATACTGTACTTCACATACCTGTGACTGTTTTTATAACTAGCAGTTTGTATTTCTTAATCCCGTCACCTTTTTTCTCCCATCCCTACAATACTCCTCCCATCTGGCAACCATCAAAATGTTCTCTGTATCTATGAGTTTGTTTCTGTTTTGTTGTTCATTTATTTTGTTCTTTAGATTCCACATATAAGTGAAATCATATGGCATTTGTCTTTCTCTGACTTACTCCACTCAGCACAATACCCTCTAGGTCCCTCCATGTTATTACATGGCAAGATTTCATTCTTTTTTATGATTCATGTTTCATTGTATATATGTACCACCTCTTCTTGATCTATTCATCTATTGATGGACACCCAGGTGGCCTCCATATCTTGGCTATTATAAATAATGATGCAATGAACATCTGGATGCCCATGCCCCTTCAAAGTAGTGTTTTGGGGTTCTTTGGATAAATACTCAGAAGTGGGATTACTTTGTCCATGTTTGTCTCTTGTTATATAGCCTTTGTTTTAAAGTTTATTTAGTCTGGTATAAGTATTGCCACTCCAATTTTTTTTTTTTTTTCATTTCCATTTTCATGAAATCTCTTTTTCTATCTTTTTACAGTCAGTCTGTGTGTGTCTTTCAATCTGAAGTGAGTTTGTTGTAGGCAGCATATGTAAGGGTCTTGTTTTCTTATCCATTCAGCCACCCTTTGTCTCTTGATTGGAGCATTTAGTTCATTTACATTTAAAGTAATTCTTGCTAGATATGTAGTTATTGCCATTTAATTATTCATATTTTTCATCTTAAATGAGTTTCTTTAAGATTGCTTATAATACTGGTTTGGTGGTTAGCTTTTTTTGGTCTGGGAATCTGTTTATCTTTCCTTCGATTCTAAATGGTAGCTTTGCTGGGTAGACTAATTTTGGTTGTAGGTCCTTACTTTTTATCACTTTGAATATTTCATGCCAATCCCTTCTGGCCTGAAAAGTTTCTTGAAGAAATCAGCTGACAGTCTTATGGGAGCTGTGTTATAGGTAACTGCTTTTTTCTTGCTGCTTTTAAGATTCTTTGTCTTTAACTCAGCATTTTAATTAGGATATTTGTGTCCCTGTGTGGGCCTCTTTGTGTTCATCTTGTTTGGGACTCTTTGCGCTTCCTGGACTTGTATGTCTATTTCCTTCACCAGGTTAGGGAAGTTTTCCATTATTATTTCTTCAAATAGGTTTTAGTTCTTTGTCCTTCCTCTTCTCCTTCTAGTACACCTATGATGTAAATGTTGGTACATTTGAAGTTGTCCCAGAAGCCCCTTAAACTATCCTCATTTTTTTTGGATTTTTTTTCTTTTTGCTGTTCTGATTGGATGTTTTCTGCTACCTTATCTTCCAAATCACTGATTCAGTCCTCTGCTTCATGTAATCTACTGTTGATTCCCTTTAAAGTATATTCTTCATTTGTTATTGTAGTCTTTGTTTCTGACTGGTTCTTTTTTTATGTTTTGTCTCCATTTTTTTGTTTCCTATCTCTCTGTTGGAAGTTCTGAGATCATTGAGCATCCTTATAACCAGTGTTTTGAACTCTCATCAGGTAGATTGCTTGTCTCCATTTTGTTCTTTTTCTAGAGCCTTGTTCTTTTCCTTCATTTGGGACATGTTTGTCTCCCCATTTGACTCCCTCCCTGTTGCTGTGTTTTAGGTAGAGCTGCTATGTCTCCTGGTCTTAGTAGAGTAGCCTCATGTGGTAGGTGTCCTATGGGGCCCAGTGTCATTGTTCCCCCGGCCACCTTAGCCAGGTGCTCCAGGTGTGTCGCTTGTGTGGGTTGTGTGTGCCCTCCTGTTATAGTTGACCCTTGGTTGCCATTTGCATGTCAGTGGGAGGGACTGACCCTCGGACTGATTGGTTGTGAGGACTGGCTGTGACTACAATGGAGGAGCTGTTGTGCAGTTGCTGAATTTAAGAAGCAGGAGTCACTTTAGCAGGGCTCTGGTGCCTGCCTAGTCTGCCCTTTGGGTGTGTTGTCTACAGAGTTAGTCAGGGGCCTTCTGGAATGAACCACCAAGGAATCCACAGATGGCCACTACTCGTGCTGGGTTTCAAGGTGCCTAGGAGAAGCCAAGCCTCGAACCAAGGTTGCTGCCACTAGTGACCAGGCTTGGGGCTGCTCATCAAGAGATACAGGGCATGCCAAAGCCAGATGCTGCTTTTTTGGGGTTTGTGAACCTTTGAGAGATTTTATGAAAGTCCATATGATGAGCCAAGACAGGCTGTACAGAAAAGCGGCTGAAAGTGGCTTGGGTGGGCCTGCAAGTTGGATGGGGCAGGGTCTCAGGGAATCACCAGGAGAGAACGAATGGTTTTAGCCAGGTTGATGGATACTCAGATATGGCACCCACTTGCATTTGCACTCTAGGAGTGGGGAGGGATCAACAAAGGATCAGTGGCTTTTGCCAGCACTTCTTTCTAGGGGAAAGCTGCCTTTCCAACCCTCACCCTGAAGTCGGACAATTCATTTCCTCCCCATATATCCCTGGCACCTTTCAAGTTGCTGCCCCAGCAGTGGAGCTCAGAGCAAGTGATTCTGTCAGCGGGTAAGTCCATGCGCGGGCCCTTTAAGAGGAATGCCTGGGACTCCAGCCGCCTTTTGTCTTGCTCAGCCACAGTCTCTGCTGGTTTTCACAACCAGAAGTGTGAGGACTTCTCTTCCTGGAATTGGAACCCTGGGCTGGGAAGCCTGGTGTGGGCTGGGACCCCTTGTTCCTCCAGGGGGACCTCCACAGCCGAGATATTTCTCCTGATTTTTAACTGCCGTGCGGGTATGAGACCAGCCCATTCTGCATCTCTGCCCCTTCTGCCAGTCTGTATGTGTTTTCTCCTTAGTTGTAGGACTTCTGTTCAGCTAGACTTCAGGTGATTCTTAATGATGGTTGTTCTGTCATTTAGTTGTAATTTTGATGTGGTCTAGAGAAGATGTAAGCACAGTGTTTACCTATTCTTCCATCTTGACTGGAAATCTCTGCTGTTTCATTTTTTAATTCTTCTGCCTAGGTATTTCTTTTAGCCTTTCCTTTCTACACCAAGGATGCTTTTAAAATTTTACTTCACAAGTATTGACAATTTATATTACTTACCAGGTTTTAATTTAAAAAAAATTTTAAAACCTATGCATTACTCTTTTTCTTTTGGTCATTTATCTACTTTACAACCCTTCATATCCTTTCTGATAGTAAAATATTTCCACAAGACTGTTAATAGGGTTCTAAAGTTTCTTCCTTTGCCTATCCTGCCCTACTAATTAGAAATATTTATCTAATAAATAATTTTCCCTTAATTTCAGAATTGGGAAGGATAGTGAGTAGGAAAGAGATTAGCTAAAATGCTTTAAGTCCTTTATTCATCCATTTAAAAATCAACCTTCTAATGGTTTTGGATAATCTGCTAAGCATATTAATTTACTAAAAGCCCACCTCATTAGTTTTTATATACTGTGGGACATACTTGTCTTTTAGTTATTTACAAAATTTCTAAAACAGTGTTCAAGTTAAAATCTTATAGTTTAATTTCTGCGCTATGCTATATATGTGCTATATGTATTTACATGTATTCTATGTGAGATTTTATATACTGCATATATCTTGCTTCTGTTTAAGGTGATAATTGATCTTCGGAACAATGATAGATTAATATGCAGGCCTATGTGTGACAGCTGAAGAAAAGCTAAGGTCTATGTGAACATACTTGGTGCATGTTTTTCAGGTTCTGAGTTCTATCCGCACAGAGTGGGATCCACTGGATGTTCGCTTTGGCACCAAACAGACTTACCAGGTGCTGACAGTGGAGCGCTCCGTCAGTGTAGACAAAGAGCCCATGGCTGATAGCTGCATCTATGAATGTGTTCGGAACAAAATCCAGTGTGTTTCAGTCACCAGAATACCACTAAGATCGAAGGCCATTAGTTGCTGCAGGAATGTTCCTGAAGACAAACTAATTCTGGGCTGTGAAGATTCTTCAGTAATTCTTTATGAAACTCACCGAAGAGTGACTCTCTTAGCCCAGGCTGAACTTTTGCCTTCATTAATAAGCTGCCACCCAAGTGGTGCCATTCTGCTGGTTGGCAGCAACCAAGGAGAGCTACAAATTTTTGATATGGCTCTATCCCCTATTAACATCCAGCTCTTGGCTGAAGACCGGGCACCCAGGGAGACTTTGCAATTCAATAAATTCTTTGATGTTTCCAGCAGTCTTGTTCAAATGCAGTGGGTAGCTCCACAGGTTGTTTCTCAGAAGCCTGAAAGTGGGAACATCTATGATCTCCTCTTCCTGAGGTTTGACAGAGGACCTTTGGGTGTACTTTTGTTTAAACTTGGTAAGTCAAGGAAGTTGGTGAGTAAAGTGTTTATGATGGCAGCATTATAATGAAGACAATAAAACTCCTTGGAATGTAGGTTTTCTACTTGTCATCCCATTGGTATGCTTGCCTTTCACACATTTCATATGGTTTACTTAAGAAAGCTTTGTGGATGATTTTCTAAATGTCAAGACACATTAGATATTGAAGAATTTGAAAATGGAAATTATCCATTGTGATGAATAAAAAGCCTGAACTTTCACATTTGATACTTCCAAAATAAGCTGTCTACTAAAAAAATTCCTTAATAAATAGGTATGTGAATATTTTAGAAGCACTTAATAAGTCCATTAAAAAATTCTGTGTGGTAGGAATGAAATAGTTTTTCTATTAAAATTATTTAGATTATAGACGTCCATTGCTTCCCAGATTGGAATGGTTAAAGTGTTCGAAAAGAGAAAGCAAATGTTTAATTAGAATTTGCTGAAGATTTTTGTATAGTATAACTTTTTTGTTTCCCCTTTAGATAAAAGTATTCAAAAGGATTTCTCAGTGCTATGCAAATCGTGTATTAATATAGCCTATTTCAACCAGGAAACTTCAAAACAAAACTTTATTATTATGATTTATTTGCCTTTTGTAGTTATGCATTACTAGCTATGCCCTGGCATATATGATATTCTTTAGGTAGTTTTGTATAATTTAACATTCTTGAAAGAACCTCACTTATGTTAAAAAAAAGAAAAACAGATTTTAATTTATTATGCACATTATTGTTACTTAAAAACATAGAAAAGTAAATACATTTTAAAACCCCTTCCAGGATTTGGCTCTGTGGCACAAAGTTAAATTTTTAAAGACATTGTAGTGTTTATTAAATAGATGTCAGTTTATTTTGTTTTTCTGTGGATCTTCTTACTCCTGAGATTGAACACATGAACTAAATTTATTGAAACTGTCTTGATTAACATGAAAGATATAATGGATATAATATAATGGCTATGTTTTTTCACATAATAAAAATGTAACTAGATCTATTCATAATGTTAATATTGTCCAAGAAATAATGTTTGGACTCTCATTTATTATGAGATAATTCAGGTCTGCTTCACCCCACTGCATATTTAACAGTTCTATGTCTCCATACACAACACTCATTAAAGTGGATGTTAGATGTTTTGCATGCCTGTTAAAACACACACATGTGCATGTGCATGCATGTGCGTGCGCGCGCGCGCGCGCACACACACACACACACACACACACACACACCCCCCCTATAAATTACCCAGTTACCTGTCAAACAGAAGGCTGTCTGCCCACATATACCTAACTTTTCTTCAGCCCTCCCTTGTGGGCCTACTCACAACAGCTTTTGCAAAAAGCACAGCTTTCTCTTCCTATCTCTAGCACATTTGCCTTCTTACTAAAGTAAATAGGCTCTCGGTGTAGGGATTTAGAGGGCTTCCTGCTAATTGCCAGCTTGTAAACTTAATTGGACTGCCTCCCTGGGCACTGTTCCTAAATCAATTAGGCAATGAGTTGGCTGTCACCTCTTTTTCCCAAGAAGCTCTCTTGGAAGAGAATTATCCAATAGAAGTCAAGCATTCAAATGAAAAGGTGATAACTTCTGCAACTGACATTTATCGTTTAAATTTTATTTTCAATATATGATTCTTACATTTTATAGAATAGGGAAATTTTACAGTCTTATAGGTGACTTAAAGGATCTAAATATAGAGTTTCCTAGGATTTTTAAAATGTATTATAAGGTTAATGTTTATTAAAGATTTCTCCCTCCCGCCCCGCCCCCAGGAAAAGTAGATTCCCTGAAACAGTAGATTCCAACTAACAGTTTTTTTTTTTTTTTTTTTTAAGAAAACCCTGTTTAAATGACAGATTTATCTTAGGATCTGCTACTAAATACATCCAAAAATTTTAATATACTTCTTGAATTAACACAGTACTGATTCTGGGCATCTATGTGGAATTTTCATGTATAATTCAAGTTACTGCATATATAAACAGGTAGTTGCATGTACAGTTTCCTTACTATGGAGCATTTATGAGATTTTTTTTCATATGCTTGTTATGCAAGGCTTTGGAAAATTTGACATGAAAGGTGTAGCTTACAATTTAAGATGCTGAGATAGATCATAGTTTAAAATAGACTGCTATCATATGTAAATGTGGCAGTTACTGGCGCCAGTATGCTAAGATTTTGGGGACTTGACACTTAGAAGAATAGGTCAGTTAGTGTAATGTTGAAGAAAAACTCTGTTCCAAATAGAGTTTCCATTTCAAATCCTTGTAATCATTGATGAAATGCACTGGGGATTAAAAGTCCATCAACACTGTTATTAGAAGAATTTGAAGAACATGTCTTCAGGAGGGAACTAGAAATGTCATCCTCCTACATAGAAGCCAAGAAGTACTATTTTATACAAAACAATATGTAACTATGATTTCTTTACCTGACAATCATTATCCCATATTCCCACATACATAGACTGAGATTAATTTTTTAAAGGAATCCCTAATCATACTACAGGTATTAAAGCTTCTCCATTCTCATCAGTACCTTTTCCAGCCTTCACTGCTCTCTTTAAACACACATGATCAGCTCCCTGCCCCCTCAACAGAGAATCTTGCCTTTTAATTGGATTTTCATTAAGTTTATCTGCCCTTCACCACTTACCCACCCAACCAACTAACCAACCACTTATCTACATGTACATAAATCTTTATTTCAATGGAAGAGGAGACCTTCCTTTTGTCCAAGACTAGTTCCACAACTACTTCCATTCTGACACCTTCACTTTCTGACCCTCCCCACTCCCCCAACAAATCTTGCTACATCAGCAGATAAATGCCCAAACCACACCATAAAACAAACATATCTCTTCTTTAAATTGTATTCTCTCTGTTATCAATCAAATACCTTCCTTTCATGGTCAAACTCATTGAAATAATATTGAACACTGACTTTTTCTGCACCTTCATTTACTATTCACTCCTCACAGCATCGAATTCTGGCTCCTGTCTTCAGTGTTCTCCTGGACTTGCTCTTGGAAAGGTTACCAGTGACCTCTTACTTGATATGTAGTTTTCTTATTTACTTGATGACTTCTCAGCATTTGATGGTTGATGACTGCTTCCACTGTCATTGAATTTTTATCATACTTGCCTTCTATGACCCTGGATGCAACTTTTCATCACACCTTTATACCTACTCATGAAAATGTGGAGGCTCTCTAAGATTACATTTTTAGCGCTCCTTCCATTTTATACAGATTGAGAGTTTCTTTTTAATTTTGCTATCTTATCTCTGACTTCAGCCCAGACCTCACCTGACTCCACATCCACATATTCATCTGACTTGCTGGATACCTCCCCTTGGATTTACACAAGTGCCTCAGGTTCCTTATATACAGACAGGAAGTCATTGTCTTTCTCCCCAGACCTACTTCTACTTCTGTATTCTCCATTTTGGTGGATGGTACAGTTATTCAGATGGAATTCTAAGTCAGAAGTCATCCTGGAATCCTCTCTTACCCTTAATGCTATATCCACTCAGTGATTAAATCCCATAAATTCTGCCTTTTAAATACTGTCAATATCATCTCATTTTAGTCAGCCTGTCATTACCTTAATCTAGACCTTTCCTGTCTTACCATGATCAAGCAGCGGCCCTCTGTAATCTTCTGCCTTCTATCTTCCAATCTCCACCCCCTCTTCCCCACCTCACCTTGCCTATTAATAATCTAATAGTACAGATTTAGTCTTGGATTCTCCAGTCTCAAATCCTTCGGTGGTTGATGAGCCCTTGTCTGCCTCTCAGGCTTCATCTCCCCAGCTGGGATGCACTAGTGTAGCTCCCCAGTCACGGCATGTACTCTCACACTCCCTTTATTCCATGGTGATATTGATAGATAGTACTCCATCTACCTAGAGTGTCCCCAAATGCTCTCATAGAGCCTACAAAGTTGAAAAAAGGTTAAATATTCAAGTGATAATATTAAGAAATAATTAAAGCTAACTTCTTCCCTCATAAGATTTTGAAATTCAGAGGCAATGTGTATATGTGCCTGTGTGTATCTGTAACTCTAAAAAGCAAGCAGTATGATTTTTGTCTTAGAAATTTTGTAAGAAGTGTTTTTTTCTTCAAAATATTTTTTTAAATGAGTGATTTAAATATTATATTTTACTCAAATGGTAATTGGTAGTAATTTATTGCTGGAAACAAATGTCAGATACTTTACTATATGCCTAGTCATCTTAAAATTGGATCTTATATCATTTGAAATGGACTGCTATTCCAGACAGCATTCTGCATTCTTCAAACTAGAGTAATGATAGATTTTTTTAATTCAAGTTTTTATGGAGGTATAATTTACATAAAGTGAAATGTACCCATCTTAAATGTACAGTTCAATGAGTTTTGACAAATGTATGTATCTCCATGATTACGACCACAATTAAAATATCGAACATTTCCATCACTCTCCAAAATTCTCTCAGGACCATTTACATTGATCCGCTTTCTGTTATTACAGATTTGATTTGCTTCTTCTAGAATTTTATAGAAATGAACTCATAAAATGGATACTCTTTTGTGTCTCGCTACTTTCACTCAGCAATAACCTGTGAGAACCTTCCATATTGGTGTGTATATCTGTAAATTTCCTCAAATTTTTATTTTTCCACATGTTGATGGACATTTGGGCTGTTTCCAGATTTAAGCTAATATCACTAAAAGTGCTGTGTATTTCCTTGTTCACGTCTTTTCATGGACATATATTTTAATTTCTCTTGGGAAAAACTGAGGAGTAGAATGGCTGAGCCATATGCTAAGTGTATGTTTAACTTAAGAAGCAACTACTCTGGAGTTCCAGTTGCTCCACATCTTTAGTAACACTTGGCATTAATGGTCTTTTTTAACTTTAGCCATTCTAGTGGGTGTGTAGTGATGTTAAGTTGTATTTCTATGGTGACTGTTGGAGTTGAGCATCTTTTTA